AGAGAGAGAGAGGGGGGGGGGGGCGAAGGGGGCAGTTAGGGACAGGGAGAGGCAGCGAGAGGCAGGGAGAGACAAGGAGAGACAGGGAGGGACAAGGAGACAGGGAGAGACAAGGAGAGACAAAGAGAGACAAGGAGAGACCGGGAGAGACGGGGAGAGACAGGTAGAGACGGGGAGAGACAAGAGGAAACGGGGAGAGACGAGGAGAGACTAGGAGAGACACAGAGAGACGGGGAGAGACAGGAGAGAGAGGCGGGGAAAGAGAAAGAGAGGTAATAAAAGCCGCGATATTAAATTCGCAATTTGAAGGACATTACATATGCACGATACGTGCGCGCGGGCGTCGCTTAACGATCATTTCGCGGCACTCTCGTTATAACGCGCGGCACTCGTTCGCCGTGCACACGCACATACGCGCGTACGGGATACTTGGTGTACTCACGATTAATTACGAAGCCTCAACTCATAGTAGAAGCCGGCTCCGCGAGACTCCATCGCACCTGAAACACAGAAACACATCCCACCGTTAATAACGAAACGGCGAACGGCCCAGGTTGGTGTTCTGATATCGGTACGGTCGCACGCGGATTATCGAGACGCGAGTACCGGGCGCGATCTTCGGCGAATATGTCTCTCATCCGGGCGCGCGTTTCCCCGAATGGCGAACGATCGCCTCGTTATTGCGCATCCAAGCGTAAACGTTCCGACCGAACCGTCGGCGATAAAACAAACTTCCCCCGTTTCTGCGGCGAGTTACTCCAGTTTCTAAAATTCGCGCGTAATCCACGTTTGCGAATTGACTTTATTCGAGGTGCCGCGATTCCAAACGCGCTCGCAACTCAAAAGAAACCGGCAAAGTGCTCTCTTTGTATCGTGCAATATCGCGAGTAACGAATACCGAAAATCGCTATGACAATTGACGTTTACGGTAAAATACATAGACCTAGTTTAAAGATACGTTTCGCTGGTTCCAGAAATCTTTATCTGGAGACGTTTACTAATAAAAAAGCGATATTCAAATCTTTCACAGTGTCAGTTAAATTGCTGTTATATTGAGAGGGTGATTTCTCATAAAAGCTTCGGGAAAACATGTTAAAAATACTTGTCTAGAAATAGCCCAATTATTTTAATACGAAGATGTCGCCTAGGAAAACATCGTTTACTATTCTCACCTGTAGATAGCAACCCAATTAGTATATGTATAGTATATACCGATGAAATATAAGTGTAAACACTTCTTCCCCCCGCACCTTCGTAACGACAGTCCTAATTCAGAGCAGTCCGAAATTGAGACTAATTCCGAATCATTCATCATCATTACGCGTACATATCGTAACAGTTAACTGGCCGAAAGGTTCGATGGGGGGGGGGGGAAGGGAGAGATAAGTGGCCGAATCTGGTATTCGTAACTACGCGTGCGCTAGTCGATGCACGAAAGCGCATAAACCGTGGAATCACATCCGTATCGGTATTCGACCCCCGCCCCGATCCCCATCCGTTTCTCTCTCTCTCTCTCTCTTGCTACACTCCGTTTCGCTCTCGCTCTCGCGACTTTTCCCTACCGGCGCAGCAAAGTGATACCACAAACAAGTAAATAGACTGCCGGCTGGAATTGACCAAAGTAATATTTGCCATCGATCGCGTTCGCCGCGGGAAAGGAAACACATGAATGTAGCAAAGCGTTTACATTGGCGTACGCTAATGCATGAATGCCGAGTCAATGTTAGCGTTGCCTGCCTCGCCGTTGCGAAGTCGCTATTCGGTCGCGCATCCACTCCGCGTTTCGACAGAAATTATGATCGATACGATGGATATCGCACAGACGTGTGTATCTAACCGAGACAATCGCGCACTGCCGGCGTTCTCCAGCGCGGCCAGCGATACCGGCTACGTCCCTTTAAACGCCCAGCACTTCAGATTTTTACGAGCCACTTGCGAAACCAACGTGCAATGTCCCGCCGTCCGCATGTAGTATTTCTACGGTTTCGGCGTGACATGGATTCTGTTTTTATAGGACAATTAACGTACTGGCGGCACATAAGATCGGCGTCCATTAAATGTTAATCTTGTGTACGAATCGTTCGAGATTCTTGTCGGGCCGTCTCTAATTTTTTTACACGCGCGAAGCTACGATTAAGATATCACGACGTGATTAATGATAATATTTCCTACGTAAATTGTGAAAAGGTGAAAGAAAGACGATAATAGCAAGTAAAGCACGTACGCTCGCGCACGCTTAAGGGAGCTTCGTTTAAAAAGATGCGCATGTATTAACATTGATATCGCTCAACAAGTTCACCGGAGAAAATAGGTCTCCGTCAAGCACGGAGTCCACTAACCGCGTTCTGGATACAATCCAAATGTTGCCCCATAAACCAAATTACCACTCACAATGAGACCTGGAGACGGCAAGACGATATACCCTCGTGTAACATTATTATGTGAGTAGGATGGTATTCTCTACAAACTCGAGCAAGAAATGCCTCGGAATCTCGCGAACTTCGCATTCCCGGCTGCATTTAACTTCCTGCCAAAGTTCTTTCCTCCGCGTTGCTTATCGATGAACGTGAGACGCGTGCATAATAGCGAGGGATACATCTAACGTTTACGCAGTAAAAAAAAAACTAGTAAAGCTGATAGAAAAATATGTAGTATTTGAAACTATAATCGCATAGTAAAATAATTATAGTCGGGAATATCATTTGTTTAGTAATTATCACTATAATATTAGTAACAGCAACCGTATAGACATAGTGATGCCAACTATTAAAATATATAAATACACTGAAAAAAATTTCTGGTTAAATATGGACGAATCAGATAATTCCTTTAAGATTTACCAGAATTCCTTTAGGATTTACCAGAATTTCTGTAGGATTACAGGAATTCTGGTAAATCCTAAAGGAATTATCTGATTCGTCCATATTCAACCAGAAATTTTTTTCAGTGTACGATCATTACTATTACATATAGTTATTCGAAATTTTACTTGTGGTTGTTTTATCGCAATATTTATACTACACCTTACCAAATTAAAAGCTCGTTTTGGTTTACGACAACCACATCATAAGTTGCACGGACCACTGTTGCGTCTATGATAACTATAACACATTGTTAGGTCAACCATAACTTACGTAGTTGGAAGAATTATAAAAATATGGTTGGCTCCTAAAATGACTATAAATTACAGTGAGACTGTGGTAACTACAACCATTTTTTTCTGTCAGTGTATGAAAATTCACCACGCACATTGACGAAATCTACAATTATAGTGAGAAAGAATTCGTGACATCGCCAACTGTTAACCGTCCGAATGTTACACGGCTGCATTCTGTCGCACACCGAATACGCGTCTTGGAGCAGGAAGATTACGCGAATCTTTTACCGTAGCAGGCAAATAGAAACCGCGCTATCTTTCCCCCGCGATCGCAGAAAAAGAATCTTTGAGAAAAACCATGTCATTAGCGGCAAGAGTTCGCCGCTATCTTATATCGTTCGCGCGCTTCAACTTTCCCGACACGTCCGCGAATAATCAATAATCTGTTGTGCAATTAATTACGTGCACTCTGACACGACCTTTAGCTTTTTTTCGTCACGCGGAAGGCGATTTGCCCGCGGTGACGCGGATTAAAGAGTCCGGGGACTCAATGGCTCGCCCGACCTCGGCCGATTTTATCTGCCGGGGCATTAATTCATTAATTAACGAGGAAAGGCTCTTATCTGCCGGCGTTGATAACGGCCAAAAAGCCTCGACCTAGCACAATCGAGCGTGGAAAGGCGTCCCCCCCCCTCCCGTCCCTCCCCCGCGTATGAACGCGGAAAAGCCGCGCCGCGACGTTTCAGCGATATCAAGCGCTTCAATTGTATCCATAATTCATGAATAACGTGACGTCCATCATCCAAACGTCAATTGCGCGCGCGCTCGCGCTCACACACACACGCGCACACACACGCACACAGACACACACACGCACACACCGCACGGCACATAACACGCGCGTCCGCGCGCACGGATATTTAAATTAGCGGCATCGTTCGCAATAACAATAACTTTTATTGGCAATACCGCGACGCGAAGCGTCAGCATATTAATCTTTCACCGCTCACTTTTGTGCCTCGTAAAACGGAATTATAAAGTATGAATTGTAAATTATACCGATTTCATTATCGCGTCGTTGCGGTCGTAGATCCGACAACGCAATTTGCTTCATTTTATCTGAAACGGAAAGAGACGTGACGCGATAAGACGTGACCGAGTACGTCGACAATGAAAAAAGGAACGGGGGAGGAGAGAGAGAGAGAGAGAGAGAGAGAGAGAGAGAGAGAGAGAGAGAGAAAAAGCAGAAAAAGATATTACACAACTTTCTATCGCGCTGCTCTGTAATTAAGAACACGCCTTTACGCGCCTCGTCGATGCTCATCAAAGCGGAACACGAATTACATAACCCGCCGTCTATTCGCGGGCGTGAGTGTGGAATAATAATTATCTTCGGCTATCGATCATTTCGAGCGGTGCATTTTGTTAAATTATAGATCGGCACGCAACGACGAGCGGGGGAGAACGCGAAATGGCCATTTTGCCCGCTGTTAACTGTTGATACAGACAGTAGAATACCATCGACCACAACCATTGATTATCGTGGCCATCATGGTGCATCTTGCCCACGGTTCATTTATTCATGTACAACCAATTGTTATGCCCAAAATGAAAAACCACGAATCTATTCTTGAATATACGGACCGAACGTAAAATGCAATTACTACGACCTCAATTGATCAACGCAGAAGCGCGTACGTGAACCCCCCCCCCCGTATTTCTGATAATTACACTTTAAAGGGGAGAACGCGCATTGTAATATGTAACGCGCGCAATTAAGGCGGTGAATGTTTCAGTAAATATACCCGAGAGCGCGCATCTCCGTTGTAAATCACTTCTCCGCTACGTCACCGTCTGTTTTACAACAGTTTCGTGGCTTTTCGAAAATCTGTTAATTACAACACACGGGTGACGTTAATTTCCACGTCGATCTACCTTTACGACGGCCAACGGAGGGGGGAAAAAAAACCCCCCTCGGAAAGAGACAGCGCGCGGCGGAGTTCAACGATCTCTTGAGAAAGCGCCTGTAAATTGCGCGAGTTGTAACGAGAGTCAGCGGGACTGACTGAGTCATCGATATAACTTTACGTACGCACGTATGCGCACTCGTTACTACTACAGTTTCATTCACGAGCACCGCGCGTTTTTACGCGCCAACGCACACACGCGAGCGCGCATGCACGTCGCTATGCAAATACCTACGCGAGCGTGAATATAAAATATGTCGGACAACTTTGTCCTTATCGCCGATACGCTGGGGGGTCGTTCGTGAATTTTGTAGCGTAACTAAAAGGCGATAACGATGCAAAATTTCAAGAGAACGCACTCCCTGAAAGTCAATCAGTGGATTATCACTGAATATTCACTGATTCGCAGTTGTAACGGCACTGAATTATTCAGTGCTACACTTACAACTGTTTTC